ATCAATAAGAAAAAATACTAAAATCCCAGGAGAAAATTGGGCAAAGAGCATGCATACACACAAATAGGTAATAAACACACGAAAAGCATTTAACTGCACCTTGAGGCTACAGGGAAGGGAGGAGTCTAAACATTAATCAAAGGCAGAAAATCAGGAGCAGGCAGCAGTGGCCCCAGGTCTTTGAGCCTGGCCATCTAGGGGAGTGGGAGACCCTCAAGGCATTTTTCTGTTGGCCATGGTCTTGTCTTCCTCTATTCCATCCACTCTGGCTAAAGCTAGGTATGGGGAATTGGCACCAGGGAAATGCAAATTAACACAACACTAAGCCATTGTTCGCCTATCAAATTAGGAGAACATTAAAGGCTAGAGAGGGTGCAGTGATCATTTCTTAGTTTCCCAGGAAAAAATAAGAAAGTGCTTTTTTGACTTTCAATAGCTCCCCACCTCTTACAGGAAAAGTCTGAAGACCTCAGCAAGGCCTACGAGACTCTCCAGGGTCTTGTCCTCACCTTCCTGTCCCAGCTCCTCTCCCACCATGCCCCACCTCCCATCCGACGCTTGCTGTATTGAACCAGCTGTAATGTCCTGAGCACGGTATGCAATGTCATGTCTGCGCAGATTGCCCTTCCCAGATGCTCTATCCTCCACCTCCATCCTCCCTGATCCCATGCAGTCCTCCTAACACCTCCTCCTCCTTGGCAATTCTCAGGATCTGGGTTTGGCACCCCTGCTCTGTGCTCCCCTTCCTCAGCGCTTACCCTACTATATTGAAAATGACTCTTTACAGCTTTCTTTCCACCATGGGTTACATGCACCTCAAGAGAGGCATTGTATTTTTATTCATTCCTGTATCCCTGGGCCTAATCCAGTGTAGATGCTCAACAGATGACTCTTGAACTAATCAATCATGTAATAAATTAATTATTCTATTTCGCACCATAAATTTTTTGCCATTATTCTGGTAAATGCGAGTTTTACTTAAAATAGATAAAATTAAGTCATTTTGGAAGGACAGGAAATCCCTCAGCCGCGCCCCAGCCCTCATTTCAGTGCCCGTGTTCTATCATCCTGTGCGTTGTAACCAATTAGTGGGCCATGAAATTAATTCATGGGTCACAACCACCATTTTTTTCAACCAAAAATATTAGAACTAGAATAGAGGAGAATAGAATGACTCCTGTATCTGTTCTTGCCATTCCATTATGGATTTCCCCACCTGCTGCACCCAGGCAGGAAGATGCAGCGGTTAAAAACACAAGTTGGGGAGGAGTAGAAAGTCAGGGCAACTTGAGTCCGTGCGACTGGGTGGCCATCCTCAGGTTGCAGGCTCTAGACTTAATCGCATTTTCTGAATCTCGTTAGTTAAGGTTGACATCCCTATCAAGGACAGTAACTACCACGGCTTCCAGTGCTTTGACGAAACCTCAGGTGTGTGACCTTCTGGCCAGGTGTCTGCAACTTCTTACTGTTGGAGCATTTGTTGTATCCCTGGGGGTTGCAGGTCTCTATAAGTTTGCAGTGGCTGAGCAAGAAAGAAGAGGTACATAGAATTCTACAGCAAGGATGATTCCTTGAAAGATTTTGAGATGAGGAAGGCTGGTATCTCTCAGAGCACAAAGTGATTCTGGAATATAAAGAATTTCTTTGGCTGAATTCCATAGAAGTTTGTCACTGTCAGCGAGATGCTGAGCATCTCAGTGAGCATCTCACTTTGTCAATGTGTTCCTGGACTACGAAACATGGATATGTGGGCTAAGGAATAGTTTCTCTTGATAAATAAACAATTTAAAATGACAACAACAACAAACACAAGTTGGGGAGGTGAAGTTCCTGCTCTGATTCTTACTAACTGTGAGACTCCAGGAAAGTTCCTGATCATTCTGCTTTGGTCTCCTTACCTGTAAAACAGAGATGATAAAAATACAAATGGGATGAAAAAGGAGGGACCCAGTTTTGCCTCAGATTCTCAAAACTGCGCATCAGCACTTCTGGTACAGAGACACTGTGGGTACCACCAGTGGGGGACACAGCACGGTCACAGCACCCCGCACCCCCTCTGCCTCTGTTCTTAATGAGGTGCCCAGTCTGCCTTTGTATCATGATTCAGTCTTGAGCTTCTCAGACTCGGGGGTGAAACATGAGCTTGATGGCATCAGGCAGATGTAGGGATCCTGGAGCCTAATGTCATAGCGTGTGAAATAAATGACTCTCTGCAAATTGCAAATCTGACAGTCAGTCCCCTGCTTAAAGCCTTTCCATGGTCATGCTCAGGATAAAGCTCTAGCTCCCTAATAGGATGTGCAAGGTCCTCCGTGATCCGATGCCCTGCCAACCTGTCCAGCCTCACCGCTTACATCCCACACTCCAGCCCTCCCCAGTCCATGAACTTCCCACATGAGCCACGCTCGCTCGCCCTGGGCTGTCCCCATGTTGTCCTGTCTGCCCAGAGCACCTCTCTGGCCCTCTGTCAAGTCTCCACTCAGGCAGCAGCTCCTCCTGGTTGCTTCCCTATCCCAACCCCACCCCTGCATCCTCTTGCTCTGCGGCCCCCTCCATTGCAACACTGGCTACATCCACAGTTCAGCAGCACATGTGTCTCTCTTGTCCCTCGTGGGCAGGGAGTGCATCTTTTCTCCCTGTCCCCAGCATCTAGCACACCTCCCCCAGAGTAAGCTCTCAGCACACCTTCGTGGAAGGGAAGGAAGATAGACAGAGGAGGGAGGGAGGAAATGGACAGAAATTCTTCTTCTGACACCTTCCCCAAATTTCCAAGGTCATAAAGCAACACGGGACCATTGAACTGTAAGCCATCCTCTAAAGACTGGGCCTATGTGGACACAGAGACTGAAGGAAGGAACTCCTGGAATGAGGCAGGCCAGCGTGAATACCAGGGTAAGTTGGGTGCCAGGAGCACCCGTCCCTCGCAGAGATTTCACAAGCTGGGGGAGGCTCCCCCGGCCTCTGGAGGAATGTGAGCCTGCACAATCAACCCTCTGAACACTGATAAGAGGCCAACAGCTGCGAATGTCTTCACGTGAACACACTCAGGGCGGGGCAGGGACAAGGCTGGCTACTCTCCCTACTGCAGTGATCCCAGATTTGGGGCCACGCAGTTCCAGAGCCCATGAACAGAAGCCGCTGCATGGACAAAGCCATGCTAAGTGAGGTGAAACCATCTAGGGCAGCTGTCTACGGACACGGGAAGCTGCAGGGAGAAAAGGGTTAACATCGGCTAAGCTGAACCAGGCGCACAATTAGGCATTTCACACACACCATTTCGTTTGATTGACATACCAACCCAATGACAGGAGCCTTGATTCTACAGATGAGAAAGTGTAGGAGCAGAGAGGTTAAGTAACTTGTCCCAGCTCCCACAGTAAGGGACTGAGCCCAAATTTAAACCTAATTCAGTCTGACTTCAAATAGCCTGTTCTCTTCACACTGAATTCCTATCCCTGAGTAATTCCTGCTTCATTAGAGTTTGAGTCTGATGCTCCCACTCCAGGATAGGAGGTGGGGGCCACGGAAGGTGGGATCTGCCAGCAGATAGCAGACACTAGTGAACCAGGGACTTGGCATGTGTCCGTCCCCAGGGAAACTACATTTGGCACAGAGGAAGTCCTGGGATCCCCGGTGCTCACCCGCCAGCCCATCCCAGGGGAGGAGGTAACTTCAGGCAATTCTCAAAGGGCCTGAGGAGTGGGCTGGCCTCCTTTTCCAAAGACAGTGCTTCCACCTCAACCATCAGCCCCCAACACCAACTTCATCCACAGGTGTCTTACTTGGAGATGAAAGAAAAACTACAGAGCAGTGGAATCAGAAATCCTACAGTCTGGCAGGTACTTCCGAGGTCTCTGACAACCCCTCCTTGCAACTGAAAGGGCAGCATCTCAGGCTGCAGGACTTGCTGGGGCTCAGAGAAGGTAAGTGATGTCGGGTGTTGTTCCAGGGGTGCTGGGACACCTCTCCACCTGCAATCCCCCGTACCTGATGGATAGTATTTGAGATGCCAATGCAGAACTGCTTCTTTTTGGCTTTAGGGCTCTGGTCCAGATTAAAATGCAGGGGACACTTACAAATGTGACAGGCATTGCCACCTTAGCATGAATTGGTTTCCAGTCTGGTTATAAAAGCAGGCTTTGGGAGGGAGGAAAAAGATAAAAATAGGAGGATTGTGGAGGCCTCAAATAGAACAGTCAAAGTGACTTTGTATACGTTGCCCATTTACAGCCTGCCAGCAGGACTTAACATGCTTTTAGGGTTGATGGGTGCAGACAATCCAATAAGGTGTCCCCTGAATCCATCCTCTAGTCCATGGGAGTTGAGCTCTAGCTTCCCTCCCCTGACTCCACCTCCCCAGGTACACACTGTACTGGTTAGAAGCAGCCTGTTCTCCTGGAAAGAATAAAATGTGCCCAGAGGACAAACAAGGCCCCAATTTTGAATTTGGGAATATGGGTTCCTGGTTCCCTAGAATCAGGCTGAGGGATCTGCTGACTTGAGTCAGGACAGGGAAAATCAAAAGGGAGCAGCCAGTTCCCAACATGCTTAATAGCACAGGATATGGACCAGGGCAGCCCCCAAGCCAGGTGCCTCTCTCAAGAGCAAGGTTGGCTCTGAGAACCTGCGAAGAAGCAAAGTACTTTAGGGTTTCCAAATGTTCATGATGGAAATGATGATTTATATCTGAATTATACCACTGTGATTCGAGATCCCACTAAGTCTTGAGTCATAAAAGTGCCCCTTATATTTCAATACTTGCAAAGCAAACAAATCAGAAGAAAGGGAAAACAACCTTTACAGATGTCATTGCTGAAGTGAAAACTACTTTATGGTGGTACCTTCACTTCTGCTTGAAATCCAAGGGGTCTTTAAATACCTCACTTCAAGGCACACACAGGCATCCTCGGGACTCTTGGGCTCTCTTCCTCCATCCTCCGTTCTCAGACAGGTATGCTCCCATACACCATGCACATGAATTTGACTCAATAACCACGCACTTGAGGGAAACATAAGTACAAATTTACTATCCACCTAGTAGTAGCTAGGAAATCGCAGGCATAACGATAAAAAGAAAATAATCAACGTCATAGTGCTCAGCTTCAAACCCAAACCTACAAGCGGGAAGAGGGAACCTGATGCCTCACGGACCTGGCAGATACTACAAATAAATGAAACAGGCCAGGTGAGAGAGCACAAGTCTTGCCCGAAGAGGCAATCCCTAGTTAGTTCCAACTGATTGTCCTCTTTCGAAAATGCAGATCAGAATTGCTGCACCTTCTGATTGTTCAAGAGAAGTCAGAAATTCTTATTTTAATGTAAAATCTCTTGATTTCTTAGAGGGTGGCTCAATTTTCTTGAAAACACTAAGTGAGCTAAATAAGGCTGACAGTCCACCAGGTTTCAGTGCTCTGCTGCACAGATGGTGAATGGCACGTCCCTAACTGTGGTGTTAGACTGCCACTCGCCAGCCACAATTTGCAATTGCAACACAGGCATCACCCAGCAGGGCTCTCCTGCTTTACTGTGCACACACAGCTGGACTCCTGAGCCAACTAACTCTATAGGAAAAAGTGGAAGGCTCCGCTGAGCCCACCAAGGACAGCAGCAGGCTGGCCTTCACGGCTAGCTGCCAGCCTGCAGGCACTAAATTGCCGACTGCTCCTGCAGGAAGCCTTCGGGGCCCGGGAGGCCTTTATCTGGCTCAGAAGCCAGGGCTGCTTCTCGAAGGACTTCCAGGTGCTCCTCGGCAGCTGACAGAGACTGGTCAATCCAATCCAGGCCCCCAGTCAGATGGCAGGCATTCCTGGTCACCAGCACCAGATGACTGACAGACAAGAGCAGGGCAGTCGTCCTAGAAAAAAAACAATAGGATCAGATTCCCTAAGAAATGAGCGACTTTGCCCGAAAGCCCAAATGGATAGACTCTAGACTACTGTTCCCCAAACCGGACACCCTTCCCTGGGATGGTAGTGGGTACATAATTTACAGATGGTTCCATGCTCAAATAAATTTTTGGATGGCTGGGTCAAACAAGATTAACTGAAGCCTGTCTCAGAGTCTCTGATGAACCGGATAAAGCGCCAAGTGGAGAATATAATTTGCTGTGTCGCACAAACTATTTAAGACCGTGGAAGCCATTTCCTGCAGCACACCTATTAACATCTCCCAGAAGAGCACTTTGTCAAACAGTCCAGATCCGGTCAACTGGACGAGCACATTCCCAACTGCTGCCCATTTAAAGACAGGATATACATACCCTCGCTTTGAGCGTTCCTCACTGATTACAAATCAATATGGCCCAGGGCTGGTTTACCCAACTCAGAAAAAGATTTAATTGAAAACCAAATTGAGGAGGAGTGTTTTTTCAGTATTGAAAGATTCACTGTAGAATACCTTTTACATGGTGAGTGTGCATGATGCATCTGGGGATGTATCACGGATTATTAACCTGGGGACAGAGCTGCACAGCGGCAGGAGAGGGGCACAGAAACCAAAGCTGCAGCACTATGACCCACAGTCCAGCTGGAAACCATCACACAACACGCCTGTGCAACAGTCATACGAATCTGAGAGAGGAAAGAATCTGTACTTCTTAAACGGGTTTACATCTGGCACAGGAACGTAACCATTTCATAAGGTTAAGAACTCAGGGTCACAAGAGAAGGGCTTCTGAGGGTGTCCTGTGAAGGTGAGCACAGCTGCGGCTGACTTGTCACCTCCATCTCCACCGTCCCAGTGCCCCACTGGGCAGCACTCACAGCTACAGCGAGTCTGCTTCTGGGGTCTAGAGATCCGCGGGAGCAATCGGGGAAGTGGAAGGCACAGCTAGGACGTAGCATGGCTGGGTGTTTATTCACAGAGATTCAAAACCTAAGCCTGGCTCTTTCTTCTCCTGGGCTTCAGGAAGAGGACTGGCCTCCACCACCCAGCCAGGCTGGGCTCACGGTTTGTCTGACCGTTCACACTGAAGCCCAGGCAGCTTTAGGAAGCCAGCACAACAGCCCTCTCTAAGCAACCCGGTTAACCATCCTGGTAGATTTGATATTGACAGAATGGTGAACCTCCAGCACGAACAGATGGACGAGCACTCTACCCGCTCACCGTGCATCCAGGAGCTTGGGGTCCAACGGAGGGTACATTGATTTGACGACATCATCCACCCTGAGGGGAGGCAAAAGGTTTTCGATATTTTACTTTCCTTATCTCCTTCCTTCTTCCTTCCTTTCTATCTTTCTTTATTCCAATTCTTTCCTTTTGATATTCCAGACCCAGTCTTTAGTGGTTCTTTCTCCAACTGCTTCTGCATTCTCAGACAGAGACTTAACAGAAAGATTTCAGCTTTGGTTTAGAGAGTATTTTGTTTTCTGGTTCTGTTTCCATTCCAATGTCATTAAAAAGGTCACAACTACAGAACAATGTTCCAGGTTACTAGTAAATTAAAAAGGCACATTGCCAAATAATATAGAAGACTTGATCTATCCCATTTGTATAAAAATAATAAGCAAAAGCTATGGAATGCAAGGGGGGAAGTCAGGAGAACACTCACCATTTAATTAGTGGTTACCTCCTGAAACTGGGAAGGATGGAATTATGAGTATGTCACTTTCTAGATAATCTATGTCTGCAGTATTTTAATTTTTATAAGCATTTGTTACTTTTGTGTTCAGAAAAAAAAAAAAAAAAAGACATGGATGAAGGTAGTTATATAGAACACTAAAAAAAAGCCACAAGTTTAATTTGGGTTCAAAGTGCTCCACTGCATTTCATGGACAGTTCATGGTTAATTTTTTTTAATCAAGTTCAGAAAAGAGCTACAATTCATTCTGATCAGTGTGGTATGAGGTTTTGCTCCAAATCTTTGCCATGGACCACCTGATAGTCAGGAAGGGAAAATAAAGACGTATTATTTGATTTCTAAAAGCACTTGAAAAAAGATGCCCTCAAACATTCAGGGCTGCGGAACCGGCAGGAAACACAGAGGCATGGCCACGCGTGGCACTGTCGCCGTGCCCCACGGCTGCAGCCGCACTCCTTGAGACTAAGACGCCATCAACACACCACCTGGAATAAATGGAGCAGGAAAAACAATGGGGACAAAAAATGGCCAGAAGGAGAAGGAAACACGAGGGCGAAAAGACAAAGCAAGGACCCCGACTGAACCGTGGCAGGGAGGGTTCCAGAAGTAGTCCAGGGTGCTGTGTAAGAGGGGCCAGCGGGCACCAGGGCAGGTCACCCTCTGGGCGATGCCACACACTCGTAGCACCACCACCGATGCTGCTCACCCAGGCGCCACAAACCCTCAGAAATCCCAGTCTCCTTCCTCTCCCTGACCCCCAACCCCCCGCAACAATGCTGCCTGATAGCCAGATCACAGGAATCTCTGACCCCCTGGGGTTGCTCTTAGAAGTGACAAAAAGCAGGATGAAGGGACCAGCAGATATGACAATGCAGAGTCTCTAAAAGTAATGGGTGACTAGAAGAAACACCTAGCGCTGGCCCAGGGCCTGGGTGGGGGTTCTTAAGGCCAGGGCCGGCCTGGGCTGATACCAACACGTAGCTACACCCACCTGGGGCAACTCCAGAGAAAGCCAGGAACTGTTCTGGGCTGAGGCCCTCCCTGGATTATCTCCCTCCCACTTTCTCAACTCACTGAGCTCCCTGGACAGAGTTCAAGCAGACTATGTCGTACATTCCCTCAGAGGATGACACATGGTGCCAACTCCCAGGAAGCCGGTCATTTTTATTTGGTTGATCTTGAGGCAGGGAAAGGGCTAGCTCCTCACGATCTACCCGATGCCACGGCAACAAGGAAAGTGTGGACCCCTGGAACTCATAGGTGGTGCCTCCACTACACCCTCCCAGGCACAGGGGCCAGGTGGCTGATGAAGAAAATGTCCCGGACTTGGACGGCGCCGGGCTCAGGCACAGCTGCATACCAGCCACCAGATGGCAGCACAAATTTAGCACAGCCCCTTGCTCTAAGAAAAGGGCTTTATTTTTTCTTCACAAAATCAAGCCCAAATGAGGGGGTGTAGCTGTTGACTGCAATCCTGCTGGTTGCCTCCCACATGGGATTTTGCAGACAGCCTGGAATTTGGGAGGTCTGAATGCTGTATGCTTCACTTCCCACCCAGAGTCCTGGAGGCTGCTGGCTGGGCTGTGGATGGGGCAGTGAGTGACAGCCAGAGCGGGTCCCCCACACTAGTTTCCAGCACAGGTACAGGCTGTATTGACAAGGACATGGCCAGGAGGCCACTGGAGATGGGGCGTGGGCACCTGCGGGGAATGTGCTTGCTGGCTGCAGCTGAGCCTGGGAGGAAGGTGTGGCAAGAGAAGGAAAACAGTCCCTGCTGGTGTGCAACCAGGAGGGGGGGAGCAGCCATCACGGCACCTGCATACTGGGCTAGCCAGGACGAGCATCTGCTAGAGCCTCCCAATGGACCTATCAGACGGTGCATGCTGGAGGCGGGGACCACCTTTGCTGGGAAGTCTCAATACCTAAACCCTCCTGGTCGTTCTGTGAATGTGTGGCGCACCAATAACCAAAGTCACCTGTGTTTCCTAGAAGAGCCTGGCCCTGAGGCTACCTCAGCTTCCAGCCTCCCGGGTCCCCCCAGTGGAGTGTGTGCCAACCGCTCACCTGGGGCTGATCCGCTTGGCCACCACGATGATGTCGCTGACACTGGCTGAATTCTTCATCTTGGCCCCTGAGCCCATTGTCATGGCAACAAGCTTTTCTGTCAGAGTGTGACAAATCTAACAGCAGGGAGGAGAGAAGAAAGGAGAGCTGACCTGGCGCCTCTGAGGGCTCCTGCCACCCCCACAAGACAAACATGGCCCTGCCTTGTCTCCCTAACCTAAGGGCTGAATTGAAGTACAAAGTACACAGAGAAGAGAGGAAATGGGGTGGGAAGAGGCAAAAGCCAAGAACACAGCTGGGAGAGGAAGGGGGGAAGAACCTCAGATCAAGGGCAGGGGGTCGGCTCAGAGACGTCTAAGCTGAAATAATCTGTCTAAGAAAAATCATGTGCTCCAATTTCACCTCCTTGCTTAGGGGAAAAAACCTGCTTTCTTTTTCTAGTCCTTCATCTCATGGTTTAGTCTTGCAAAAGGATAAATATCTCCAGTGGAGTGCCCTCAGAAACAGGGCTGGACAAAGGGCAATTGTGCCCGTTAAGCACATTCTCCAATAATGGCTCTTATTTCAACAATTATTCTAGGGTAATATATTAGCATGTTTTGTCAAGATGATGATGAAAGGACCTTAGAGAAACCAGGGAAACGGCCAGACTCCGACACACGGCCCTTTGCACCGTCCACTAACAGGGCTGGCCACCCCTGAAGCCTGATCCCCCTGTCAGAACCTGGCTTTGCCTCTATGCCTGGCAAGGAAACTGCAGTGCCTACCTTATACTGGCACTGAAAATAGAAGGCAGCAAGAAGTCCAAGAGCCCACCCGGGAGTGAGCCTAGTCCCCTCCTTCAATCTCCTACCACAGGGACTCAAGGGGAAGTGACCAAGCAGAAGGGTCTTAAGACCCTTAGAGGAGGCTTAGAAGCCCTCTCCTTTGATCCAAGGTTCCAGGGATGGACCACTGATGCCAATACAATAAGGCTACTTCTGGTTGATTCCTCTCCCACCACAGGTGCCATTTGTCCTCTCCTCTAAAAGCTGAGGACAGGACAAAAGCCAGCCCCAGGACACATCCTGCTTGGGAACAAGGAAATGTAACATGGCATTATTGCTGTAGTCATTGTACCTATCTACCTATATCTATAATCAGATCTCTCTCTACAGCTATATTTACATATCCAAAGAGCTTCTTGGAATGGAATAATAAGCCTGGCCTATGAGACACTAATTTTCTACTAGGCAGTTCTTTGGCCCCCAAGAGAGACAGCCAAAGAGGTGGGATAAAGGACTTTTTAATATCCTATACTGAATGACACTAAAGAGAAGACAAAGTTGTCTCTTTTGAAATCTTGAATAATTACTAGACAAAGAGATTAATGTGTGGTTTCCCGGGCTACTGAAGTAAAGATACTAATGATATTGGCAATTGCCCAAATATTTCAGTATTGTTATCATTTTATTAGGTAGAATATTATCAGGCAAGAATTGAAAAGCAAATGCTAAAACTATAAAAATTATCCAAAATGCAAATTGGATGCAATTTTCCAAAATTTCAGGCATTCAGAGAAAAAAAAATCTGCCTTTAAGTTGAAGTACTCATGGTTTGGATTTTTCAACACTGGTTGTCCTATTTGGCTGACTACAGTCACAGCCAAAGAGGGCCAGTGAAGATTTTCTACTACCGGTAGAAGTTCAGAAAGCAACTCGCTATACAAGCCTGGGCTCTCTGTTAATGGAAGGTGAACACGGAGAAGCCAGAAAACCTCGTTTCCCTTTGGCAGTTCCGTGGTTAGGCACACACGGCTTTCTCCATGGTCGGAGAAACCCTGGCTGGTGACTGCCTAGGCTGTCTTTCCCACACGTCATTGTATCAAGAGGACAAGATGAAATAAGGCCTTTGAGACAGCCTTGAGGATCCTAAAGTAAAACAGCCAGTCCAGGTGGGAGTGGAAGCAAACAGCAGAAATTCCATACATCGGGTGAAAGAAAGGCCTCCTATGAGGGTTTGGTGCCCTTTCTAAGGTCCCTTTCAACTCCAGCTGCCTATGCACAGGGGTGCTTTGGTGACACCCCTTGACCTCATAGGGAAATCAGAGTGTATTACCTTCAAGATGGCAATGCAGTGCGACATGAGACCCCTGGGGAGACAAGAAGAAGTTGTCAGTGCTCATCTAGAGAGGCCCCCTCCCTCCAGCTCCCCAGTGGGCACAGCTGGACACCACCTGAGGGCAGTAATGCCTTCATGTTAAAAGGAGCAGGCCCATGAGCCACACGAGGGAGCACCTGCTTTCCCTGCCCTTCTCCCTCCCCACACCCAACCTGCTCTTCCAGCTAGCTCTACTCTGCACCATCAAATCATGCTTTTTATAACTCCAAGATTCTGGTAAACCCAATGTGTCCTTCCTCCCATGCCCAGCCTGCTGAACTCCTCATCTTTCAAGACCGAAATCAAAAGGTACGTTACTCTGTGATAGCTTTCATGAAATCCACCTCGACCACCCAGCCCCAGGCAAACCTAGGCACAGAGATCACCTGTAGTTTCTACGATACTGTATTTAGTATAACACAGTCTCCTCCATCATTTAAATATCTGCAATGCCTGACCCAGCACCTGCACATACATGCCCCATAAACATGTGCCCAGTGAATGGATGGCTAAATGAATAAAGGAATGACGTAGATACACTTCTCAAAATGTGGATGCTCCTGTACGATGGAGAGATCCCTGAGGGATATTGAAGACAAAGGCTTCATCCCTGGAGCCAGAGTGTCAATCTCCTGGGCATCCCAAGGATAATCCAAGCACACCAGGGTGACTTTATAACAACCTATGCCATACATCTATATGTCTCAGTGTTCAGGTCTACAAAATGGGTGAGAGAAAGCAAGGACAAGCACTGTCATGCATATTCTGATTCCCCCCCATGAGGAGGGCAGGGGAACGTGACAAGAGTGCACCTGGATGCCCAGCTGAGTGCTCTACCAAAGGAAGCCAGAAAAGGGCACCATTTCCCAAAAGCCCCATTTGGCATCCCCAGGGGCTGCAGAAAAGCAAACAGTCCCTAAGGCCTTACGAGGCATCTTCAATCCAGTCTTCATTCTCCAGAATGGCCTCGATGTGGGGGTTGGTGATGACAACATCATCCAGCTCTAACTCAGAGGGCTCAGACTGGGTCTCCATGGCACCAATGAGGTCCACGATGGGCCTGGAAGAAAAGGCCCCCGTTAAATGGTTTCATGATAGTGAATGCTCCTGACCCGCTCCTCACCGAGGCCCACGGACCCCCTAAAAGGATGAAGGGAGCCAATCAGTTAGAGCAGAGACCACATGTCCTGGATCCAAACCTAAGCCTGGTGGGACTGCAGGTGAGGGCAGGGCACATGGCTAGACAGTGAGCCAAGGAGGAAGGCCTGGGCACTAAGACAAAAGAAAAGTGGAACAGAGTAATAACATAAGCCACTGAGAGAAAGAGGCGGGTATAACCACATAACTACAAAGATGCATTAGACAGGGGTACTCATTCAGGACAAAATAATATCTGTTTATAACTTATTTTCCCTCCAAGCCTACATTTTATAAAGAGGTTGAGGTTCCTATTACCCAGACCTACCTGTACACCCTACCTGGTCTGCAAAATCTCTCTTGGGAGCCAGCTTGGCCCACCCCCATCTCCCTGCCCTCTCCTCTGATTTTACAACATGGTACTTCAGGAAATGAGATGTCATAGCATTCTTTTCAATAGCAGAGCTTTCCTGGGTCATACAAATGGGCATTTACAAGTTATTTCCCACTTGACAAGACACTGATAGGATTAAGATAGAGGTGTAAGGAAACTGAAGGTTAGTTGGTTGCCACAGTCCCTTAAAGATCAATTAAAACATCCCTAAACTGAAAGTAGAATCCTGCTTATAAAATGTATTTCACATAAAATGCATCATGAAAAATCTGCTGTGCAGAGAGAGACAGTCCTCTGCTAGGATCTCACAAAATCAAGTGCTTGTTGCTAAGACGTGTGGCTGGCATGGGGGCATCTGATTTCTGTTCTTGTGGGTTTGGTTGAGAAGGGATTTTGCTCGTCCAACTGGTAAGTGAGGTGGCCAGTTTTGGATAGATGGCTGTGCCTTCACAATAGGTGAACATGTTCAGTGACTTTCCTATTGGCTCAGAAAACAGAGAAAGGTGGCTCAGGATGCTAGGGAACATTAGGAACATTCTTAAGCCTGGAGCTCTTTATTGGGAAGGACAGCCTGAAGGTACCAAACTACTTCTGTTCCTCTTTTTCTTCTGTTAGAGCCCACCTCTCTCCATCTTCCCCTCCACAGGCCCACTCACTTGGAATCATAGCGCTGCAGCAGGTCTCGGGGCCGGCAGTAGCGCTGCCTGCAAACCACCACCAAGGCTGCAAACGACGCCAGAAAGATGGTGGCCAGCACGCCTATGGCCACAATCACCACAGTCTCCATGCTTCCAGGTGGCTCCTGACTCAGTCTCGCTCACATGCTCCGCATGGGCTAAAGCTTGAGAGAACAGAAGATCAGAGCAGATCTGGTAAAGAAGCCACAACAGACAAGGGAGCAGCTGGGTCTTACCTGCTAGAAGTGGCACATGGGGGTGGGGGAGGAGCTAGGTTCCCCCAAGTCACCTGCAGAAACATGAGAGCCTGAAGAAAATCAAGGGATATTTTATGCTATGCCCCAAATTTGCCTTTTCTTTTATTAAAAGAGTTCGCACACATACCCCCATTGGACTAGTGGCCTTTTAAACCTGGGACAAAAGGAAACATTTTAACTAGCATTGTTGTTTTCACATTTATAAAAAACGTGCTTGAAAGAAGACCCACTAAAGAAAGGGAAAGGTGGGACTGTGTTTACTGAGGATCTACTCTGTGCTGGGTACCTTTGATATGTTAACTCTCCCAACAATAATCCTAACGGATTAGGATTAGTGGTAGCCCCATTTTACCATTGAGGAAACTGAGGTTCAGGGAGGTTAAGGAATTTGTCCAAGTTTATGTAGTCAGGAAGAGAAAGCCATCCACTTAAACTGAGACGGATGTTATCCTTCCCTTTCCTAAGGAGGAACGAAGATTGTAAAAACTCTGGAATGGGTTCTGTCAGTTTCAGTGTTAAAGCTATTGTGCACGTGTTCATTGCCTATTGCCTGTTTTCACTCAAGAGGCTCCTTCACACCTTTTTTCCCCCATACAATTCTTTTATCTGTGTACCAAGAAGAATGAAAGGAGTACATGTACACCTAGTGCATATACTAGTGTGTGCACAGACTATTTCTTTGGGTATGGATATATGTACATGCACACACATAAAAAATATAACTAGATAACAATGGTTGCCTCTGGAGAGAGGAACTGGAGGACAGGGGTCTGTCTTTCACACCGTTTTTAAATTCAGAAGCCAGAGAAACAGGGGCATCTCAGAAAAGTACATATATACAATGTTATTTCATTGCAGGCCTCCTGCTTACATCTCTTTGAGTCCTTCCCTCTCTGGGCTTTAATTTTTCCACATGCAAAAAGGGTGCTCTGACTTAGGGGTCTCTATGAGGCCAGGATGCTGCATTTCTTCTATTTGCAAATGCAAAATTCTATCCTCTATGTCTTGGAGGGTCCAAAGGCTCTCAGTCGTCATTCGGTAAATATTTACTGACTATCTACTATGCACCAAGCACTGGGCTGGATTCTGGAGATTGGAGATAAATAAGACACAGACCCCAATCTTAAGGAGCTGGTGGGAGAGGCAGATAGGCAGACAAACCATTTCAACTCCATGTGCCTGTGCTATGTGCAGAAGAACACAGAAAGGAGAGTAACCGTGTTTGCATGACACTTTCCAGGAAAGCTTTCTTCACAGGGCTGGTGATGCCTGAGCTGCGTTTTGAAGGATGAGTAGGAGTTTGCCAGGCAGACAAGGTGGAGACTTGGCTGGCTTAATGTGCCCAGGAGGCCTTTCTCAGAGGTCTCACAGAGCTGCTCTCCCAACCTGGAGCTCACTTGGCCACAAAGATGTGCCAGCGGGATCTGTCTCCTTCATCTCTGGGTCTCTGATTGTGCTGGGAGTAGGGTTGGAGGGGGCGGGTAATTCTCAGGGTCTGCCTGGTTTCCCTGGGTGTGTGTTTCTTCTCCCTGCCCGCTTTAGCCCTGGTTCTTTCCTCCTCCTCTTATCTCTGTTTCCCTCTCGCCCTCTCTCCTCCTCCCCTTCAGTCTCTCCCCTTCTTTCTCTCCTCCCCCTGCCCCGGGCCTCCGAGACCACCAGCTTGGCTTCCTCTCTCTTCCCGTGCGTCCTGCCGTGTTCCTCTGAGTGTGCGTGAGCTTTCTCGGAGTTTTCAATCTTTCTCTGCTATTTGTCTGTGTGGGTGTTTCTGCGTGTTTGACTTCCTCTTCGTGTACTCCTCCCTGGGTGTTCCCGAATGAGTTTCCCTGTTTCTCCTTCCCTAAGCTTGTGTAGGTCTCTCTCTCTGCCTTCCTTGCTCTGCTCCTTCCCCATCTGTGTGGTTCTACACTCACGATAAAACAGACCCAGCTCCTACCTCCTTCCCCGCGCGCGGCCACCCGGAACGCCCG